CCCACAAATAATGATACACAAATAATGCAAGTTACTTGAAATGAAACGTCGTATCGTCGCTACTTTTTTGCATTAACAGGGTGCGACGATCTTATGATACATCGCGCACGCGCTAACCATTCGCCCCCTCCCCCAGAAAGAAAGACATTTTAAACCAATAAAAATAAACTTGTTATTCGAATTAAGCAGGGCAGCTTTTACAATTTCAAATTTAGAAAAACACTTAATTATTTATATGGATTCCATGGACCATCGCACCCTCTGCTCGCAATGTAACTGTTTACGCTTTCATTGACAGATAGCTCACACGACATAATCAGTAATGTTTGAACATTGAAATAATTATTATTTTAAGGTCTGAATATTAAGAGTTACAACTGATGCGGTTTATAAAGACAATCATAAAATAAAAGTAGTAGTGGTCACTCTCGTGTTTAATTCCGACATAGAGCGGCTTTGACTTTTCAGGAATCCCCGGTTCAGGAGTAGGGGTGGGTTTTTTCTGGGTCCTCCGGTTTCCTCCCACTGCTAAAGACCCCATTCGCGCAAGCGAATTATTGAAATAAAATTAAACGACGTGTTAGTCCCGAAATAACCTAGTTTGTGTCGAGTGGACGTTAAACACCATTTCTCTCTCTCTTGACTTTTCAGTCAAATACACCCTTATATTCCAATTAATATGGCTTCGGTAAATGTATTTTTATCCTTATCGGACGATAAAATTCCCTAGATGTGCTCCTTTAACATTTATTAGTCAATTCTAAAGATTATTATCTGCCCTTTAAACAATCTAATAAGATTCTTAACACTTATATTAAGCCGTTGGGTACCTTCACACAGCCATTGCGGACTTCACTGTAGACATTTATTGCCACTTTTCTAAGTGCTAGGGGGGTTGACGAGAAGATCAAATTTAAAATGACTAGGTTCTGTAAGTTAACAGATTTAACTCGTCTCGAGTTAAGTCATTGTTTGATGTTTGACACTATAACCCATTTTATACGATGTCACAAGATGGCAATCTGGGAAAGTTAGAAGGTTGACCACCGTGTTGTCATGTGGTCATATATAAGCCATTTATATTAACTGCGAGACTGGCTGTGGTTCCGGTAATGTACTTCCTATATGTCTGCCTGGTTCGACCCTAGATCGATTTCATTTAAACACAAGAATAGATTTAAATAATTAAACCATATTTCATATTCCAGTCGTATTATAATTTGGTTTATTATAGCTAATGAGCGTCATTTAGGAATATCGAAAAATGAAATTGAAAGTAAAATTAGATAATAAATGTCTCAATGGTGAATGCATTACTTTTTAAAAGAATTTCCTTCGCACACTACTGAATTAAAGCTCTGATTTATCGGTCTGCTTTAAAGGAGACTCTGGTACACCTTTGAATCACACTTAGGAATTGAAGCTTCAATTTATAGGTTTCGATAAACCATAATCGTGGGGGGGGGGGGGGGAGGGGGGGCTAAGTTGAGACCGGGTGTTCGATCCCTGCATCGGCCGTGAAAGTTCATCCAGATTTTCCGGCGTGGTTCCCCCCTTGTCAGTGATGCAGGACGGAGGGCCTGACAAGGACAGCTGTCTAGTCGTTCAGATGGGACGAAAAACCGTACACATTGGCGTGCACGCAAAAGATCCCTTGACAGTTGGATTTCGATATAAGAGTAGGTCGTAGTGCCTCTGTCCGGGGAAAATTTCCCTCATAGCTTACTGTATGGCGTATGCCCGTCTTCATTAGCCCAGTTTGGAGCAGAACAGTAGGACGTTAAACCCCATTTCATTTCATTTCAAACCATAATCGGGAATATAATATATATAAAAACAAGGTTTAAACAATGGTTATAAGTCAAACAAAAATCGTGTTTCTTTTATATGTTTTTTGGGAAGTGTTTAACTGCTGTGTTGCTTGTAATCTTCACTTTGGAAGATTACAAGTAAGAATCAAAGAAAATGACCGATAAAACCACTCCTTAAAAAAACTTGATAGGAAATCTAGATTGTTTAGCCTCAGGCTCTCTGCCATTACATGATGTTTTAAACGATGTAACTCATCATATATTGCAAAATCGTTGAATCGTAAGACCATTAGACTGGAGAAAAATCGATAGGCAGTTTGCATTGAATGCCTATAGAAATATTGGTCAAAAAGAAGGTGAGAGCGTCTTCGGTATATTATGTAGGCGTGATGTATTACGTTATTAAATGTTGAGAAAAATTCTTGTCCTTGGCAGTTTTCTCGTTACTCTGAGACTAACGAGTATACTTTTATGTAATTGTTTTAATTAAGTGTCGGATAGCTTTGATCATTCAGGGGTAGGGTCGCCTGTCCAACCTCGTGGGTTTTCTCCGGGTCCTCCCTATGCTAAAGACCCCTACGCTCAAGCGAATTATTTAAATATAATTAAACCATATATTAGTCCCGAAATGACATAGTTTGTGTCGAGTGGACGTTAAACCCCATTTCTCTCTCTGATCATTCTTGTCTAGAACACGTTTAGAATAGCTCTCTCTCTCTCTCTCTATCATCTAAATCACGTTTAGTTTAAGATCGCTGCATTTTCCGTGACTCTGGTTAGTCAAGTTATTACATAAAATAGAATTACATAGGATAGTTATCTCTCTCTCTCTCTCTCTCTCTCTCTCTCTCTCACACACACACACACACACACACACACACACTCATCTAAATCACGTTTAAGTTAAGATCGCTGCATTCTCCGTGACTCCGGTTAGTCAAGTTATTACATAAAAGTGGCCTTAAAGATTTAATCACTAGAAGACTATAAAATCACTGCAATCGCCATACATAATCTCTTAAACAATCACCCATAGCATCCTTCTTCTAAATACCATATCGGCTTTTTTCTAATAGTAAGTGTAGGAGATCCACACTACATACAACTGACAAGAGAAACCTGCGGATATTTTCACTTGCTTAGGTTGTGGTCGTGTACAAGGAATCAATGACACTGTCACGTGAAGAACAGTTCCATTTATGTCTTGTTCTGAGGTTTTCGAGGTAAAGTATACATGGTTTGGCGCCATTTGTGGCTAAAAAGAATCAGGGACGATTGTTATTTAGGTAAATAAAGCTACTTTTGATATTACTAGAAATCCAAATTAACCCACAATAGTAGCTATTGTCGTTATTGATGTTGATAACAAAGTGGTTAGTCGGTCGAACTATAGTACTAACATTAGTTGTTGTCCTAAGTGAATGGTCAGAGTGAGAACATGATTTCTATCAAATCTCAAAATATGATTTCTCGTCACTATTATCAAATCGGTCTGCATTTACAATAGGGTGGTAATATTTATGCCCCACATAACCAAGTTAGATTTGTTAAGTCAAAGACTGATTTTACATTAAATAAATTTGCTCTCTGTTTGAATGCATGTATAAAAAAAAGAATATAGATACGTGGCGCGTCTATCATTCTGATAACTCTGTGGCTTACATTCATCGGTGGTACACATTAAACATATTTTCTCCCAACATACGTAAAACACATTGCTCGTTTACTTTTCTCAAAAGGAGAGAGAGAGAGAGAGAGAGAGTTTAACCTCCACTCGACACAAACTAGGTCATTTCGGGACTAACATATGGTTCAATTTTATTTCAATAATTCGCTTGCGCGTAGGTGTCTTTAGTAGAAGGAGGAAACAGGAGGACCCGGAGAAAACCCACGAGGTTGAACAGGTGGCCCTACTCCTTGTCATGTGCAAGCGGGGAATCGAAACCACACCACTTGACTCAATGACAGACATTCTGATCCAAGGCGCACGCGTTAACCATTCGGCCACCCAACCCACTTTTCTCAGAAGGACCTAGGGATAACTTTGACCAGCTTAACTTCATTCCGACATGTATTATCAGGAGTCGAAGATCTAATTGTTGATGGTGATGTTAAGTCAACTTTGCTAGCTAGCTTTGTTTTAGATTAAGAAGAGCCAGACATTTTAAAATCTGTAAGTTTGCTTACTTTCCCGATTATCGCCACACTTTCTGTACTTGTAACCATAAGTCGAATGTTATGCTTGAACTATCCCAATGAATTATAAATTATATTTACAATCTTATCAAGTATATAATCAGACTTGGACTACTATATATAGACAAGCCAAGAGTATAAACTGGGATATATTGATTTCCCCGTTGATTTCACAACCGGTGCGCATTAAGATACAGATAAGAGCAAGAATTTCTTTCATTAATTATTGAAAAAGCTAAGATGGAATTATACGTCTAGGAGCTGTGTTTTTATGGGGAAGCTAGATCTTAGATTAAACTCACAGAAGATTTTCTCGTGATGATATTTATTTCAAAATAAAGTGAAATAACTGTACTTAACCATTTGTAACCAACATTAATTTATTGGTTGTATGTACCGGTGTCAACAGCTCCACCAATGGTACTATTTTACAGCGGCGAAGCATTTTTGCTTCCGCAGCCCGCTCGCTATGCAAAACACTTTTCGCGGCATGCAGCAAGTCATTACATAATTGTGTTTGAACCTTCACCATCTTGTTATGATGTCAAGGCTACTGGGTGGTCAATAGTCATCGCCAGTCACCAGAGAGAGAAATGGTGTCTTTAGCAGTGGGAGGAATCCGGAGGACACGGAGAAAACCCACGAGGCTGGACAGGCGACCCTAGTCCTTGTCCCGTACAACCGGGGAATCGACACTACGCCAGTTGACTCAACGACAGACCTTATGACACAGCGCACACGTGCTAACCATTCGGCCATCCAACTCCCCCGTCTGTCACCAGACCCATCTTTTAAATACAAACGTGCATCTCATATTTGCTGTGATAGGACCCCGTATTCTTTACAAGAATGAATAAATAAACAATACGAACAGATTTTGTTAAACAATCCGTATACATTGGAACCGACAAGCCCACGGTACTACCTCGAGATTAGTTACAAAAATATAACACAAACACTTTTGTTCTTAAAAAAAATCTATTATTTCATTTTTCATATCGTGAAAGCGACAAGCCCGCCTTTGCTTTGGTCATTTTTATTCTTCATGTATTTCATACCTCGCAGTTGATTTGCTGTCGAATCTGTGTTTGATCCATCGGCATGTAAATGCCAGGTCCATGCACCCGAATAACCATTATCATAGGCCCACTGGAACTGTTCAGTGATATCCATTCCTGCACCACTGACTTGGTTAAACTCTGCGATCACAAAAGGTTTTGAAAAACCATAATCGGAGGCTTTATGTTTGAAAGGTGAGAATTCGTCGTATTTGCCTTGCCAAGCGTAACTGTGAGACGAGAAAAAGTTCAAAACGCCCTGCTGTTTGCCACCAGCCTTGCGGAGACAATGGTCGCTGTAGAGATTGTGCGTATTGAGTCTATCAGTATTGTCTCTTGCATTCCACGAGCCGGCAGTCACAAGAGCTCCGGGATCTGTTCTCCTGATGGCATCAGCCTGCCAGTTAACAAACCTAAGTAGTTCCTGGGCGGAGTAAGTAGCGCCTGCCCACCCGGCTCCAGAATTCTGCAAGAAGGTGGTGTCGAAGCACGGTTCACTATTGTGGGTACCTGGTATTATCTCCCCTTCGAACTCGTTCATGATATCCCATCCACCCAAAGCTGGTTCATCTCGTACAGTTTTAACCCATGGAATTAAAGCTTTATCAATGTAGGATTGAAGTTTTGCTGTGTCCTTAATCAAACCATCTAAATGCTGATGTTGTTGTTTTAAAGCTCCATTCCACAGACATGGAAATATTAAAATGTTGTAGTGCTGCGCCCTAGCGAGATATTCCTTGAACTCCGCAACGAAGGTTCCTTTTTGGTCCAGACCAGTGACATATCCATTGTTGTCGAAATGTGGACTTATGACACCCTCAATATGGATCCAAACACGAATTGAATTTCCACCATTGTCACTAACCAATTTCAGATATTTTTCAAACTCCGTCTTACGATATTCGTAATTGTTGTCCCCAAAGTCGTATCCGTATGCGATCCAAGCCTGATTTCCTCCTGACAGGAAGACTCGTTTCCCATCTTTGACAAAATGAGTTCCTTGGATCTGCAGCCTACCAGCATTGGCAATGCTAGCAAGCACTATCAGATACAGAGCCAACACGCATAATCCCATTGTATCTGAAACAAAGTTATATTCGGTTAGTTTTCTTTTATCTAGTGAGGAATACTACCCCCATACAATAACTTAAAATTTCTCGAGGCTAGGTAATTATTACATCCCGAACAGCAGTCCATATGGTCAGACTCGAATACAACCCCGCAGTAATTATACCATTCATTGGTAATTACGTTAGTTTCGTTCTATGCACAAGTTAGACGGACCTTGATGCGTACTGGAGTAAGCAAATTGGTACTTCGAAAATACATTGTTTACAATTATGGAAATAAGCTTACCTTGCCTTAGTCTTTGTACTTCTACTGTAATTCCTATAACGGCGTCAAATTTATTCATTTTTAGTAGATAAGTAAGGAGGTCATAGATAGAGATATAGATAAGACACATATTAAAGTGCTCTCTAGTCCGCGGGGGCACTTGTCCGCCAATATCTATTATAATCATTTTTACGATTAATGATCACATGTAAATGCATACCCGTAACGAACCCTGGCGGTAATACTAACGCACGCAGGCTGACAATGAAATGTAACGACGCACCCACCCTGACAATGAAATGTAACGCACCCATACTGAAATGTAAAGCACCAACCCCGACCAACAATGAAATGTAATACACCAACTCGTCTAACATTCTAAATGTCGTTTTAATGGTTTGTTATATTACATAGGGGTTCTTTTGATACCCATGTAACAATATTTTGACTCTTGACTTCCCTGTCTGACCTTGACCTTTGACATAACATGACCTAAAACTTTTAGTAGGTCCTGCTGTTTTTTTTTTATTATATCCATATTTGTAGCATTTTTTTATAGCGGCGGGCTAGTGAACGTGAACCCCTCTCTAAAAATCATGTATGGTATATGATAGGCAGAAATAGTCAGACTTTAGGGGGTACCAGTTATTGCATATAATTTTTGGAGTGGGTACGCTCATGGAATCTTCACAGAAGATACACGCGGTATTTCCGTGAAACGTAACAGGGTCGGTAACTATAAAAGGGCATTTCTAGTTGCGTGAAACTATACGTTTCGGAAGGGCATATCTACAGCAGAATGTAAAACCTCTGGTGATCCAAATAAGGAATGTGGGGGGTTTGAAGATTTGGTTTAAGTGTTTCCCCAGCAAATACATGAGTACTTTCAGCACGTTTACTGAGAATTAAGTTGTACAGATTCACTATTGAGGCGTGTTCGACGAATCGTGGATTAAAAAGGAAGAGCATTTGCTATGAAGTATGCTATTAGGACAGTTTTGCCAAGGGTACACGCGACCTCGTGTTTTCACCCAGAAAGTGGTGCAGGACGGGGGGCTAGAAAGGAACAATATCTTCACGGAAGAGTGCTTTGAGCAGAAATTTGATGTCCTTCTTTTTCGGACTATAGGCTACAACGCTATAATGAATCCAATCATATACCATTGTTCGTACAAGACGATGGATAATGAATCCAGTTATTATATACCATTGTTCGTACAAGATGATGGATACTGTTAGTTCGGGGTTGATTCGGATCTAAATAGTAGTCAGGATAGTTACAAAAACAAAATACAACACAAAATCGTTTTGTACTTTACAATATTCATATTTTTTCAAAACTTTTTATAATGTGATAGCGACAAGCCCGCCTTTGCTTTGGTCATTTTTATCTTTCATATATTTCATACCTCGCAGTTGATTTGCCGTCGAATCTGTATTTGATCCGTCAGCATGTAAATGCCAGGTCCATGCTCCTGAATAACCATTATCATAGGCCCATTGAAACTGCTCGGTGATATCCATGCCCTCACCACTAACTTGATTAAACTCTGCGATCACGAACGGTTTCGTCAAACCATAATCCGAGAATTTATGTTTGAAAGGTGAAAATTCGTCGTAATGGCCTCCCCAAGCATAACTGTGAGACGAGTAAAATTTCAAAATACCCCGCTGTCTGCCACCAGCCTTGCGAAGGCAATTGTCGCTGTAAAGATTGTGAGTATTGAGTCGATCAGTATTGTCTCTGGCATTCCAGGAGCCGGCAGTCACCAGAGCTCCGGGATCTGTTCTCATGATAGCATCAGCCTGCCAGTTCACAAACCTGAGTAGTTCATGGGCGGAGTAAGTTGCACCAGCCCAACCGGCGCCAGAATTTAGCAAAAAGGTGGTGTCAAAGCACGGTTCGTTACTATGTGTGTTTGGTATGATTTCCCCTTCGAACTCGTTCATGATATCCCATCCACCCAAAGCCGGTTCATCCTTTACAGCTTGAACCCAGGGAATTAAAGCTTTGTCAATGTAGGACTGAAGTTTCGATGTGTCCTGAATCAAGTCTGCTAAATGTTTATGTTGTTGTTTTAAAGCTCCATTCCACAAACAAGGAAATATTAAAATGTTGTAGTGCTGCGCTCTAGCGAGATATTCCTTGAACTCCGCAATGAAGGTTCCTTTTCCGTCCAGACCAGTGACATACCCATTGCTGTCAAAATGTGGACTTATGACACCCTCAATATGGATCCAAACACGAATTGAATTTCCGCCATTTTCATTGACCAATTTCAGATATTTTTCAAATTCCGTCTTGTGGTATTCGTAATTATTATCTCCAAAGTCGTACCCGTATGCAATCCATGCCTGATTCCCACCTGACAAAAATACTCTTTTTCCATCCTTGACAAAATGAGTACCTTGTACTTGTAACCTTCCAGCATTGGCAATGTTAGCAAGTACCATCAGAACTACAGCCAATACGAACAATCCCATTTTATCTGGAAAAATAAATTTAGTTTTATCTACAGAAAATGCAAGAGTATAAATTCTTAATGCAAAACAAGGATGGACTGGGCACGGGTGGGGGATACAGTAGGCTCGGGGCCCCTAAAGAAGAAGTTTTATGTTCTCCTTTTTAAGTCTGGAATTTCCGTCACTTTTGATGAATCAGTGGCGCATCAAGATTAGTAAAACAGTACCATGCAATATGACAAAATGATTAAAGGGAATAAAAGTACATACCTTGCTTCCTCTTGATTCTTCCTTGGTAATTTCCAAAAAGGAGCCGAATTTATTCACTTTATAAAGGTGAGTTAATAGGTCATGGATAGTGGAATAGATAAGATAGCGATATAAAATGTAGAACTATCCATGATAAGCGGAAGACATAAGGTGTTATGTAAACCACAGTGCATTTAACCTTGATGTACCGCATCCCCCAAATTCAAATGAAATATGGGTTTAACTTCCTACGGACGTACGCCATACAGTGTGCCATGAGGGAAATTTTGCCCGGGCAGCGGCACTATGGCCTACTCTTATATCGAATTTCAACTGCCAAGGGATCTTTTACGTGCAAGCTAATCTATACACGTGTCCTTGTCTTTTTGTCCCATCCGAGCCACTAGACAGCTGTCCTTGTCAGGCCCCCAAATTCAAATTACCTAGCGTAATTTCTTAGTGAATACACAATTATTACAGCAGTAGATAAAATATCGATATAAAAATGTAGAACTATCTATGATAAGTAAAAGACATACGATTTAATTTTGATGCACTGTGTCCCCCAAATTCACCTAGTGTAATTTCTTATATATTGTCTCGGGAACCTGGCAAACCCCCCACCCCACCCTCAAAACTTCCTGGATCCACCCCTGTAGGGTGAGAGAGAGAGAGGGAGGGAGAAATGGGATTTAACGTCCACTCGACACAAACTAGATCATTTCGGAACTAACATGATTCAAATTTAGTTCAATAATTCGCTTGAGCGTAGTGGTCTTCAGCTGTAGAAGGAAACCGGGGGACCCGGAGAAAACCCACGAGGTTGGACAGGCGACCCTACTCCTCCTTGTCGCGTACAACCGGGGAATCGAAACCACGCCAGTTGACTCAATGACAGACCTTATGATACAACACGCACGTGCTAACCATTTGGCCATCCAATGCCCCGTTGTTTGATAACGCTATGATGCCCGCCCAACCATCACCTTCGAAAGTCTATGATATAATGGAGGCCACTTATATATTGTTGATTTTCAATAAGTTTCCACTGAAGTATCTCAACTTACCAATTATACTTTTTTTAAAAAATATGTGACAGGTTTTATCACTGTATCTCGTTATTATTCGTGTTAACTCAATGTGAACAGCCTACCAAAGCGTATCAGATCTTATCACGCCAAGACCTCATTACCCTGATTTATTTATGAACTCACGGAGGTATCATACGCAACATGATCACTTAAATGGCAGTCGTTCATTTCGAGATTAGTTACAAAAATATAGAACAAACCCTTTTGTACTTAACAAATATCTATTATTAAATGTTTCATACCGTGAAAGCGACAAGCCCGCCCTTGCTTTGGTCATTTTTATCTTTCATGTATTTGATACCCCTGAGTTGATTGGCTGTAGAATCTGTGTTGGATCCATCGGCATGTAAATGCCAGGTCCACGCTCCCGAATATCCTTTATCATAGGCCCATTGAAATTGCTCAGTGATATCCATGCCCTCACCACTAACTTGATTAAACTCCGCAATCACAAAGGGTTTTGTCAAACCATAATCGGAGAAATTGTGTCTGAAAGGTGCAAATTCGTCGTAATGGCCTCCCCATGCATAACTGTGAGACGAGTAAAAGTTCAAAATACCTCGCTGTCTACCACCAGCCTTGCGAAGGCAATTGTCGCTGTAAAGATTGTGAGTACTGAGTCGATCAGTATTGTCTCTGGCATTCCAGGAACCAGCCGTCACCAGAGCTCCGGGATCTGTTCTCATGATAGCATCAGACTGCCAGTTAACAAACCTGAGTAGTTCATGGGCTGAGTAAGTTGCACCAGCCCAACCGGCGCCAGAATTCAGCAGGAAGGTGGTGTCAAAACACGGTTCGTTACTATGTGTGTTTGGTATGATTTCCCCTTCGAACTCGTTCATGATATCCCATCCACCCAAAGCCGGTTCATCCTTTACAGCTTGAACCCATGGAATTAAAGCTTTGTCAATGTAGGATTGAAGTTTCGATGTGTCTAGAATCAATTCAGCTAAATGTTTATGTTCTTGTTTTTTAGCTCCATTCCACAAACAAGGAAATATTAAAATGTTGTAGTGCTGCGCTCTGTGTAAGTATTCCTTGAACTCCGCAATAAAGGTTCCTCTTTCGTCCAGACCAGTGACATACCCATTGCTGTCGAAATGTGGACTTACAACACCCTCAACGTGGATCCAAACACGAATTGAATTTCCGCCATTGGCGTTAACCAATTGTAGATACTTTTCAAAATCAACCTTACGATATTCATAGTTGTTGTCTCCAAAGTCGTGACCATAGGCGATCCATGCCTGATTTCCTCCTGACAGAAAGACTCTGTTTCCATCTTTGACGAAATGGGTGCCCTGGACTTGTAACCTTCCAGCATTGGCAATATTAGCAAGTACCATCAGACCTAGAGCCCACAAGAACAACCCCATTTTATCTGGAAAGAACGGGAATATCTTATAAGGATTGACGTTGGTAACAATTTTACCTCGGGTTAAAGGACAATCTGTTTGGACAGTGTAGGTATACAAGAACTAGTTAACAGAAATAAGTTGGATTTATGCTAGATCACTAACAGCGAGAGTACTTGTACTTTGTAGTTTAAAAACTTCCAACTATGCCAGCCACGTTTCCTGACAATTAAGCAAATATGACTGTTAAAGATGCATTATGTAAGATTAAGTTAAAGAGCTGACCTGTCTTGCTATAGTAGTTCACAAATGGATAATGTAAAATGAATATTCTGAAAATTGCACTCAAATTACTTTATTCTGAGCTGAGCTACGACTGTTTAAAGATGTAGCGTGGATTGTGTATTATCGTAGTAACGGTACATGGCAATGAGACTGTCTCGATCATCCAGTTTATCGTTAAATTTATAAATCTCATCGGTGTTTTAATCCAATTTAATCTCAGCCAACTGATGGTCTAGCGAGTTACTATAGGCCTGTCATGGGCAAAATGTCTACTTAATATTCAGATTTAGCTCGTACATAATGCATCTTTAAAATGAAAATGAATTAACGTAAATACCTGTAATACTCCTGGATTCTTCTTCAGTAATTCCAAACAATATGTCAAATTTATTCCCTTTATGTGTTTAATTAAGTAGGGCATAGATAAGATACTGATACAAAACGGGTGTTCCATGATAAGTACAGAAAGTTTAGAACTTTTATTGGAACCTTTACAACCCTTTAGTATGTATTATCTTTCGCGCGTTTTTTCAGGGTGTTCATTCTTGGTTAAGTATTCTCAGATTAAAATACGCTTCTGAAGATCGCAAGTATCTGCTTAATTGGCCGATTTTAGTGTGTGGAGATAGCAAAATAGTACAGCTTTCGAGTGTAAAATGGATATTCAAAGTCTTTGTTGGTCAATCGCAATCTAAACATATGAAAAGACCGCAAACAAATATTCATTCTAAGAAAAGACTATGGAATGACAATCAAGGTTTTGGTGTATAAAGAACGGTTAATTAAGGCTTATTATTCACAGAAACTGGAACCTCGTGGGTTTTCTCCGGGTCCTCAGGTTTCCTCTCACTGCTAAAGACCCCTACGCGCAAGCGAATTATTGAAATAAAATTTAACCATGTGTTAGTCCCGAAATGACCTAGTTTGTATCGAATGGACATTAAACCCCATTTCTCTCTCTCTCTCATAGAATAGAAACTGATCTCTGTATATTACTTTAAATGGCATTATGTAAGATTAGATAAAGAGCTGACAGTTCTGGCTAGTAAAAATAATGATAATGAAAAGGGAATATGTTGAAAATTTCAGTCAAATTACTTCATTCTGAGCCGAGTTATCGGCGTTAGAAGAACGGTGTAAAGATAAAAAACAAAGTCTCGATTATCCTTTTTTTAAAATTAAATCATTAAATGGCCGAACCGATCTAACGTACTTAATATCGGGGCCATCCCATGGCATCGAGAGTTGATAATGGTCTTGTAATGTTAATTAGTGTCTAATTTTTATAACATTTAATACTTAAAGAGTTAGCTCTTGCATAATGAGCTGTTTAATGAGCCGGGGAATATACACCAACAGATAACAAATAATTCCAATCTAGGAATACCTCATTTATTCTGGTCAATTACAATTTAAAGGATACCAATCCGCCTCTACTTTGGTCATTTTTGTACCTCATAAATCGGAGACCTCGTAACTGTGTAGCCGCGTTATCGGAGTTGCTACCTGTTCCCAGTAAATGCCAAGACCAGGCCCCAGCGTAGCCGTTATTATACGCATAATCAAACAGCGCCGTTATGTCCTTACCCCCACCACTGACTTGGTTAAATTCTCCAATAACAAACGGCTTATTCAAGCCGTATTCTGCGGCTTTGTGGTTGAATGGTGCATAATCAGCGTATTTGTCGTGCGATGAATACGCGTGTGTCGTAAAAAATGTAAGAACGCCCAAGGGTTTACCACCAGCCTTACGGAGACAGTCATCACTCCAGAGGTTGTGTAGTCCAAGCTTGTCCGAGCTAGTGCGCGCTGTCCACGAACCTACTGTTACTAGAGCGTCTGGATCAGTTCTTCGGATTGCATCTGTTTGCCAGTTGACAAATCTCTGAAGTTCCTGAACATAATATTTTGCCCCTGCCCAGCCAGATCCCGATCCGTGCATGAATACGGTGTCAAAACAACGTTCTGAGTTATGTTGGTTAGCTATAATTTCACCTTCAAACTCATTCATGATATCCCAACCTCCCATAGCGGGTTCATCCTTAACTGCCTTCACCCATGGTATTAAGGCCTTGTCAATGTAACTATGGAGTTTCCGTGTGTCCCGAATAAGTCCACCTAAGGCTTCACCATGTTCAAATAAGGCACCATTCCATAAACAAGCGAAGATGAGTATGTTGAATTTATGAGCTGCTTTAAGATATTCCTTAAACTCGGATATAAATGTGCCAGTTTTGTCCAAGCCTACAACATATCCCTGGTGGTCGAATACCGGGGTAGTTTGGCCCTCAATGTGTACCCAGACCCTCATGGAATTACCACCGTTATCGTGCACCATTTTTAAGTAATTCTCAAACTTAGATCTCTGCTGCGCATAGTGATTATCTCCGAAGTCATACCCGAAATTTATCCATGCCTGGTTTACTCCAGACAGGAAGACTCGCTGTCCATCTTTTACGAAGTGGGTTCCTTGCACTTGAAGTCTTCCTCCTAAAACAATGTTGATACAAACTAATAAGTATATAGATGCTACGTAAAGCAGCATCTTAACTGACTGAAAATACAAAAAAGATGCCCAAAATAAGTCACTTCCGCGCTAACACGTATATGATGTATGTTTTAATTAGTACATGTATTTAGCTAAGAACTCCCAATAGTAAATTCTATGTTGAAACAGGGCGTTATACAAGAACGGATCGTGAAAATAAAAATGCAGTACAAACGCCGTTGAAGACGAATATCACTTTTTCCACTGTTGCCCAGTATATATAAATTCATCGTAGATTTGGGACCTTTCCTTCCTTACATAAATTCAAAAATATTTTAACGAACCCCAAACGTAAATGTATACTCAATTTAAGAAAATATCTATACCAAAGTATGAAATTACGTAATAAATTATTAAACACCCAAAAATGAAACTAAACACCTATTGGGAACTTTTTTGTATAATAAAATACTTTTGTATTAACTTCGTGAATTGTATATACATTGAAATTACTTATATATATTCATATATATTTTACTTTTTATTCATTTTTTATTACAATTATGTGCCTTATATTCCTTGTTTCTTGTGCAATAATTCACGATATATATTCTTTGTACTTATTATGGCTATAGCAAGTGATTTGCTTTGCCTTGTAATAATAAAGTAAAGTAGAGGCGACTAGAGCAATTGGACATAACCCATATTTTGGACAGAGTAATCTTACGCTCAAAATCTTTGGACTCCGAACTAAAAGCAGTGGTGGCAGACTGATTTAGACCTCCCATGCCGTTAGGTGTTTCCCGTGATTTTTTTTTATGGCTGGCTATTTGGTTTGGTCCACATCTTAAATGGCCGGAAGGTGGTGTTTACCCTTTTCATTATAAGACAGGTGGTTTTTACCCTTTCTCTGTAAGACAGGTGGTCTTTACCCTTCCATTTAAAGACAGGTGTTTTTTACCCTTTCATTTAAAGACATCTATTGCCTCCCATATTTACCATGTTAATTAAAACATACAAAGAACGTTTACATCTATATTTAATCTACAGTTAAATTAATTTACAATAGATAAAACGAAACACCTACCCTTTGTTACACCAAGGCCTATCAGGAACACAACAACTGTTAAAATGCACATGATTAAAGATAAAAACCAAAGATTAACTCAGAGGAGTGCCAGCTACGATTTGATTTTATCACTAACAAGTAAAATTTGTCCTTCATAATGCCATTACTTAGTTCATCAGTTCAGTACTAAACGGAAGGCGTATAAGTTATCACCTCAGTAGAAGCGGGCGTTAAATAAAGCTATTTCACACACAGTTATCTGCAACGATGGAAAGCAAGTGAACTCCAGAAGCTCAAGCTACTGGGTAAAACAATGATCTCCTAGCTTAAGGCTGTTGTAACTTACATGGTATATCTCTATAGGGAAACTTGGGGGTTAGGTGGCCGAATAGGGTAACACGTTCATGAATTTGGGGTTCTGGCGGGATCATACTGAAAAATAATCTTTCTAGCTTTTAAAAATTATTAAGAGCATTGCAATGCAAGTTTTAACATATTATTACCACGATAGGTTTGCTTTAATACATCTTGCTAAAACTATCAGAATTGTAGCCAAATAACGATTTATCAATTTACAGTTCCTGGTAACTACAAAGGATACGTAGTTTGTTGAATATTGAAATTACAGAGTTGTCCTTTCACATGCCACTATCGATCAGGTCGTAAATATAGATATTACTGTGATAATGTGTTTGTGGATATTATACTTAAAACAGGCCTGTTAAGGATCGGGCCGCGTTCAGTAGAGTTCACCATCCTAGCTTGTGAGAGAGAAAAATTTGGTCATTTCGAGACTAACACATGATTCAATTTTATTTCAATAATTCGCTTGCGCGTAGGGGTCTTTAGCAGTTGGTGGACACCGAATGACCAGGATGAACAGACGTCCCTACTTCTTGTAGGCTATCCACCCCCACCGCCTCCTAGCTTGTAGTTTCTTTCTCAGTGGTTTCGAAATGTTGGTAACATTATAACGAGGCACAATATATCATTACGACCGTACAATTGTTACAGTACACATTTGTTAGCTTTCCATATACACGTGTGGTACCAGAAATTGCGCGGATGCTCACCTTGTAAATATCACCCATCTCTGCTATACTCTTTTAATCACAAGGTGGGCCCAGCGCATCCTACATTGGATTGGGTTAAAGGGATGTGGAATGGCATGGGGTTTATCGTCTCTGCGACATTTTATCTGCCTTACAAGTTATGATGGGTTATAGGTAATAGCAGGCATATGACAAGTAGTTGCATGTCACAATTCACAGTATTTACAAAATGTGGCTTTCATTTAAATAACTATTCTGTAAGGACAAGAGTATAAAATATTGTATGTGGTCCAGAGCAATATGCATACTCTGCGTGTACACGACACATTTCGCCTAGGGTCAAGCAATAGCAACCCCCATCCTTATGTTTGCACACGTACCATAGCGAAAGTTTCTCGTGATTTTTCGATGTGGTTCACTCTTGTCAATGGTGAAAAACGGAGGACCTGACAGGAAGAGTCTAGTCGTTCGGGTGGTACAAAAACAGTTCCAGTGTACACATGGGTGTACACGTAAAAGAGAACTCACAGATTGAATTCCAAATAAGATTACGCAAACTTTCTCTCATAGGACACTTCCTTAGCCCAGTACAGAAATATAACGCGTGAAAGTCCAACCGAGCGAGGTTTTCTGTTGATGACAAATTTAAACCCATATGGATGTGTTTGCAATGGATATCCCATAACAGTTGCAAATGGAAATAGAAGTAGTCCGTAGCGTCCCCAGTTGGTGCAGAAAAGTAAGACGCATCAATCCCAATGTAATCCTAATGCATTTCAATGTCCCAATATACATGTACAGAAATAGATTCTGCCAAACCTGATTATTTATGTATTACTTCAACCCAAACATTTAACAACCCAATAAAATTAACAACTCCAAAACCCGTCTTTAATCAATATGTTCCATGTTTCAAAGTATCCTCTTTTGAATTCGACTCGTTTTATTTGGGGCTTAACGAAGTTATTTTCCATTTGATTTCCAGTAGAGTTAAGGAAGTAGATCGGAATTTGTCGAAGCTACATATAGAAAAAAAACAAATTAATTGCGCGCTGCAAAGCGTAGGAACTGAGAAGTTCAAAGTTAAAAAAATAAATATAAATTCCAGACCACACTGCTTAGACAAGGTTATTTATCGACTAATGAGAAAGTGCATTTGAACAGTTTCGTTGTGAAAAATCGAGCCGGTCGTCTCAAACGGTCATCGTGTGCTTTTCTAAGAGACAACTGACCACGAAAATATAGAAAAAGAAACAGTATCGACAATCCAAAGGGTCAGGTCAAGGACAAAGAGTTTTTTTACAACACTAAAATGCACCTGAATACCCATTTTAGATTGAAACTTTGCTCATGAGCAATGTACATTTTTTTTAAAATAGCTTCACACCTATTTAGATTGCTTTGTTGTCCCTTGCTATTTGATTTGCAATTAAACGAATACATTGTGCTGTTAATATATGATATGCCAATAAAATTATAAAAAGCAAAACGAAATAAAAATATAATTACACCGATTACTCGTCAGGTCGATTTTACCAGCATTGTATTTTTTAACCCATATCGCAAACATGTGCAACTGATGTGGAATGTCTCTTTTACTTAATAAAAGGGGGTTCGCTAATCCGCCGCTACATAAAATACATTTAAATATGGGCTTAATCTATTTGTTAAAGTCGGCTCAATTTTTGTCAAGGTCGCCAAGATGTAAATAAGGTTAGGGCACGTGATTGTTGGCGAGATTGTAGGTTAGGGTAAGCATTGGGGCTAGGTCCAGGGTAGGGATTAGCGCTAGACCTGTTTACATCTCGTGACCTATGACGAAAAATTGAGCTGGCCTTATCATTTAGCACTAACCTTAAAATATGGTTATCGGAAAATACCAGCAGGTTGTGCTGAAAGTTATAAATGTTTTGTCAAGGTCAACATCAAAAGGCCAAGAGACGATAGAACCACGATAATAGCCCTAACTCGCTGAAGGGTGAGCTATTCGAAATGAAATGAAATGACGTTTTACGCCCAACTTCGACTGGAGTAATGCAGTCGGCCATACGTCTTACAGTAAGCTATGAGGGGAATTTTGCCCGGACAGTGGCACCTTGACTCCTCTTATATAGGTTTCTTTTACGTGTATGTCAATGTGTATACGTTGTCCTGTACTGCTGCCAAGGGGGGGGGGGCAGCGCTGAAAATTCCGATGAACTAGGTCATTTCGGTACTAACATGGTTCAATTTGCTTGCTAACCATTCGGCCGCCATCCACCCCCACTATTTAATGATGAAATAGACAATTAGTGTGTATTGATTTGTTATCGATGCAATGCAAGTAGCATTCGAGACTGGCGAAGCACCCCCCCCCCCCCCCCCATTTGAAAAATATTTTCGACCATAAAAACAAGATATACATTGTCCATCAATTTTACAGCACCCCTGACAACACTTTCCGTCCCCCTCGTTGTTCTGAGCTAGTTACGGCCTTGCTGGCCCGATAGTTTGTTTGGATTTCGGGAGCCTTATCGACGCCACCACTGTCAATTGGCAACATCAAACAAAGCAGTGTATCAATTCTATATATTATTATTGATCTAACCATCTTCCGTAACGCAAATTATTAGAGTGTTTTTTTCTATAATGATAAAAGGGCGATGGGAATTCTGCAAAGCGGCATGGTGTACTTTAATATTTTTAAATATTTTGACACGCCGCATGGATCAATACACGTCCTTATTTAGTTACAAACAAATACCGTCATAAAATGGCAGTGGGGGGGGGGGGGGGGGGCTTTAATTTTCCCTAGACACTATCCTGGTCACGTCAGGACTAACTTTGAGAGTCCCATGTAATGGAGTAAGGAAGTCTACGATACGTTTATCACGTACTAACTCGAAATCAAAACCATGAATTCTTATATTATTCGTTCGTTCCTAGAGTTGTACGTCACTTCCGCCAAGGTTGATGTCGTAGACAAGGTTAATCATCATGATCTACAGCACATGTTATACCACTAGACCACCAAACCAGGATCGTTGAGAACTCTACGTTCAAAGACCCTGGAGTATGTATTCATATCCAGGCCCGTACGCCCCCGCCCGTGAAAAAATTGTCGACCATAAAAACAATAGATATACATTGTCCGTCAATTTTACAGCACCCGCTCTGCCCCCATCGTACTCTGAGCTAGTTACGGCCCTGTTCATATCTACATGAAGAACAACAGTACACTACTCTGCATGGTTTTCAAAATCAGAGTGCAGAAAAGGAACATTTATTGAAACACACCGACATTACTATTCAAGGCAATTAATAACCAATTTATTAACTGATAGCCACGGTGGGCTAACCATATAATCAAGTTAAATATGTCCTGTAAAATCCCCGTTTGTATATATAAGTAGTGAGAAGTCTTGTGCAAACTCAAGTAAAAGATCATAACCAAACTACATACTTTAGTTTATAAGGAGAAATTCACCACGCCCCCTTTACTCTGATCCGTTTTACCCCTTAAGGACCGCAGCCCCCTAAGTTGATTGTCTGTGGAATCGGTGTTGGAACCATCACCTTTAATATGCCAGGACCAGGCTCCAGCATACCCGTTATTGTATGCGTAATTGAACTGGGTCGTAATATCCATACCTGCTCCTTTAACTTGATTAAACTCGGCAATTACAAAGGGTTTTTCCAGACCGTATTCAGAAGCCCTGTGTTTAAAGGGTGAAAACTGGTCGTATTTTCCTTGCCAGTCGTAAGTATGCGTTGAGAAGAAAGTTAATATCCCCTGTTGCTTTCCACCGGCCTTTCGCAAGCAGTGATCGCTATAAATATTATGGGTGTTGAGCTTGTCGGTGTTATCTTGGGCATTCCAAGACCCGGCAGTCACAAGGGCATGGGGGTCGGCCCTACGGATAGCATCAGCTTGCCAATTGACGAACCGCAAAAGATTCTGAGCGGAATACAGAGCTCCTGCCCAGCCAGCACCGTTAGCCTTAAAGGTAGAGGTATCG